ATTTGACAGTTTATTATTAATACTATAAAGATTTTTTATTAATATTTAAATTATACTTCATCTTGTTTGTTGATCTTTCTTATTGCAATTTCTTGGTGTTTGTGGAATTTTGTTTTAACTCACGAATCACGATGARGATGGCTTCAAACCAAGTGCCCGTTTGGGAGGGTTTTAAGCAGCGTTTTCTTGCCAAAAGCCCCAAAAGTAATAGTCATGTTTAGTAAGAAACCAAAGGAATAAAGCTTACATTAGCCCAAAAATAACTTTGTGTGGTGAAATTATATCTTAGATAGGTTTTAAATTTTAATGACTTAATCCGTGTAAAATGCAAAAACACTCCCAAACGGATACCTAGTCATCAGGCAATTGCTCGGGTCAAGGTCATAGAATCTGCTATGAATACAAGCGCACGAAATACGAAATGAATGGTGCTAGGTTTACTTTTAAAATAATGGAATCTGCAATGAATACTAAGGTAAGATAAGGGATACGAAATCAACCACAAGTGCACATGCCAAGCCTTTTGGCCTTTTTAAGATTAAGTGTTCAGTATAGTGTATACCCCTGCCAAGAAATCATTTATTAAGTCTCCCCTTCCCCCAATTGAATTGGGAATGCCCCCAAGTCTTCCCATCCCCCAAAACAGCATCCCCTTGAGTAAATCGGAAATCCCCCCTTGACAAATCATTTATTAAGTCTCCCCATCCCCCGCATTCCCGTGAATTAGGAATGCCCCTTGACACTGAACCCAATTATACAATCATATTATGAATTTTGGGGGTAGATGGAACTCAAATTACCCCTCTCTTATTTTTATTTTTTATTTTTGAGAGGGGGGTTGGGGCGGTTTTTAGTTCCACGAATTGGAACTGATGGACTTGTTTTGGGTTTTGTTCATTTTTCGGTAAGTTACTTACCTGGGTAAATGCATTTACTTTGCATTTACCCATGTTCTTTTATTTCTCACATAAATAAGGTAATGGCCATTTTAGCATAAAAATCCATTATTAAAAGGGGTAGTTTTGTCCCATTCAAGTGTTAGCAACTTTCTCCTAGGTGGGAAAGTTATTTACCCACCTAGGAGATGGGTATCACTTATTCATGAAAATAAACTTTCTACGGTCCCCACACTAATCTAAAAAATGAACATGAGATTCTTGGTTAATGAGAACCAAAGTCCTATTGACCCATTTTCCCCCCTTTCAAAATACAAAAAAAGAACTCCCCTCATAGAGTTTCGATTATTATCGGTTCAGAACTGGTTTCATCCTGTGCTGAACCGATTCAGATCCAACTTGACTTATATATGTATATGTATTTATTTATTTATTTATTATAATCGACTTTGTTGGATCAGACCCAATTGTCTTGAGAATTGATCAATTCGCTTCTACGTCTAAAAGTTATAGACCCTATCAAGTTTGGGTCGGTTTCGAAGTCCTCAATATTTCATGTTAGATTAGTTCTGATTCTTGCTGGTCCCGACCTAGACTCAACTCATTGACAGCTCCAAGTGGATGGGTGGTGGGGGGGGAATTGCAGTCTCACCTGATGACCCATGTGGATTCCAATGTTCCATGTAACCCGTTTGACATGTCTATATTGGTAGCATATCAAAACTCATCTCAACCTTCAATACTCAACACTATGGTTTTCAAAACCGACCCGAAGATCAACCGGTCAAGGGTCCAATTCCTAGGTTGAACGGTTGACCCGTTCTGACAAAAAAAAAATTAAAAGACTAAAAAATTAATAAAAATAAAAAATGGTGAAAACCGTTGAACGGTTCAAATGCCTGGGTCAGCGGTTTGTTGACCAAATCAACGTATTTTTTTGCAAATATCTGGTTTTGGGGAAAACGGAACCTGTCACCTGATCGATTCTTGATTTTTTTGATCTGACCATCCGGTCTGGTCCAGTGTTGAAAACCATGCTCAACACTCTAGATGTATGGAAAGGTTTAACCGATTATTCTGTATTGCCGATTACTTTCTACTTCTCACATGAGAGGCCTCATTTGTTTTTCAGTAAACAGGAATAGGTGAGTTGATCAGCATCAGAATTGATCAATTTATCCATGTTATCTTTCGTTATTTGTGGTTCCATAGGAAAAAAAAGAAAACGATTTCCGAGTGCAGTAGTTGTCTAAGTATTACCCTCCATGTGTGCACCGAGTCAAGCGTAGGTGTGGGCGTGTGTGAGCTACACCTTCTCGTTTTTCTTCTTTGACCGTTTTAACCATTTAAATTTTGTATTTATTATTGGGAGAATGACGGTTCATCCCAGGGTCAGAATTCATATGCACAAAGTACAATTGGGATAGGTGTCAACTCAAAGTTGATGCTAATTCAAGGGCGGGTATGGATGCATAGAGTGTGGTTTTCTGACATTTTGAATGTTTATAGATTTACAGTGGAAATCAGAAATCTGCATTAGGCCTGCCCGTAGTTTTTTGTTTATTTTAAATGTTCCTTTTTTGTACCTCTTCATGTTTAGCTCTATGTGTCTCTTTGAACAATTGCCTTGTACATTGTTTTGGAGAAACATCTCTCTAAAAGGACACATCTGTGTCCATTCGAGTGGCTGAGAGCACTCTATAAATAGAGCGTTGATCAATCTAGTAGTATAGAATAAAACATACACCACTTCATCTTGGAAACTGATTTGCAATCACCTGGTTGCACCATAAGTGGCACGATTCAGCCTGTTTTATACTATAATTTCTCAATGTGATGTTAACCTTCCATACTAGTTCTGCAACACTATTCACTCTAGGAAATTAGAGTGACAACAAGTTCCATTCTCCWTTCTAATTATAATTTTTACATCAATCATAAAATCACATTTAATGGAATCAACTATAAGCATTAGAGGCAATGCTTTCTCTTTGCCTTAGAACTAGGGGAAACCTCTGCTTTGGTTGAACTAGACCCAATAAACATGGAGGAACCAGCTCATTCCGTCATTATAGAACACTAGTTCATGCTAATCACATCCAATCATTCATAGTTTTTATATTTTCCCTATATATATATTTATTTATTATATTATTTATTTTTATAAAAACCATGTATACATATATGATAAAAATAGCTGAAAATAGGTTGTATTTTTTGTTTTTCTTTATATAAACTATTATAATTTCTTTTCCTTTTAATAATTTATTAAATTTTTTAAAAATTAAATTGGATCAGATCAGATTAAGATATCTGACATCCTTAATGGATTCAGATTTAAATCAATATTTATAAGATCTGATTGAATCTAGGATTCGAATATATCCTTATTCGAGTTTGCATCCCTACGGTCCTTCACCCATATCGAGGGCTGTCAATTTCGAATGTTTCTACTTGACGACAAGAATATAATTTGCCATTTTGTAATTAAGGCTCAATTTGGTAGGAGTACAAATACAAATATGTATTATACAAATACATACAAAATAATACAAATACAAGATTTTACGGTCTACAAATTTGTATTTGTACTCCTTCCAAACTGAGCCTAAGGTTTTTCTACATAAGAAACATGTCTCTAGAGTATACTTTCAACGGCCTTGCAATTGCCCGGTCTCCTTTATCAATATATTTTTTAAACCTGAAACGTCGACGTAATCAAGAAGCAAAATGGACCTCTTTTATCTATAAAAAGAACCAACGTGGGAACTAAGGAGGATCATAGCTTGGTTCGTTCTTGATCTGATAACCGAGAGAAGAGGATCTTCTTCATCAAGGTCACCTCTCTCTCTCTCTCTCTCTCTTAGGTTCACTCCTAGTCTCATAACACAGAGAGGAGGATCTTCTTCCTCTCTCTCTCTCTCGTCAAAGATATTCTGTATTTTTTTCCGTTTTATCTTCCTAATTACTTAATCGAAGGAAGATAAGTCCTAGCAACATCCCTGCATGGCAGGGATGCAAATTGGCCCGGTTGAGGCCAGACTGTGGGTCTGATCCTACTCTCTAGTTGAGTTTGGGTTTTTACATGTCTTTAGCTCGGAAGGTGTTCGGGCCTCAAACTAGGAGACGATGTTCAGCCATATCAAAACAATTCATTAGTGATTATCTATGTTTCTGGTTTTAGTTTTATTTAGCTCACTAGTTKAACTGAACCTATCTTAAAATATCGGATGAAAGGAAAAAGGTGTGTTTGATCAGTTTCTCATATTTTTAATTTGTTATTTTGTCAGGCAGTCCTAAGTGGATCAAAGAGACAAAGTTGGTGTTTGATAATATTGAAATGGGATCTGATATCTAAACAAACTCACGTTTTACAGGTTGGATCTTGATTATGTTAACAAATACCTCATAAAAGAAAACAGATGTCTTCGTTTTAAAGATGGCCCATACTGATTGAAATGTCTTCGTTTTTTTTTTCTAATATTACAATTGCTCTAAATTCTAAAATGCAAAAATATGCAGATTATTTTTTTTTGTTTTCAGATATCAAATTTGTAAAAAGAGCTTTCTGCTCTTAAGATATTAGACTTAAGTTTATCAAATAACACCTAA